TAGGAAAAATCTGGGAGATAGTGACAACTGCTTTTATCACTTGATGCTCCAAGTACTTGTTAATATAATTTGCTGAAGAAATTTTTTTATCCAAATCACTTTAACATAAAAACCAATAAAAGTTGATGATGTTTTTTAAAAAAATGAACAGGCAGTTAAAACCCAAATATTTCACTGAGTTTTGATTGAGGGAACGAGGGAGGAGGAGGGGGAGAAACGAGCCGCTCACTCTCCCAGCCTCATCCAAGGTCCCTTGGCCAGTGCCGGATCAGGCCCTCGATCCCTCACCCCACGTTCCCTCCCTTTGTCTTATATGAAACCGAATCGTGTAAAAAATACCGAATGGGAAATAATGGATTGGGGGATTTCAACGCGCAGCAGAAACTGTGGCACAAATCCATTCCTAGAGCCGCGAGCAGCGGCGCTCCAGCCAGCATCCCCCGTGGTCGCTGTGGTTTAACTCTCCCATTATCATCGTTCTCTTGGTGCTCCCACCTCCCTGTGCTTGTAAAAGTACTAAATCACTTACTTTGGAAATTAAATCGGGAATATTTTCTTTTCCCTGTGATTTTCTATGACATGCCTTAAAATTCACGATTTAAGAGAGATATCTTATTACTGATCGCTTTATAAAATGCGAATTAAATAACAACCAGAGTTAAATAAGCCTAGGCAGTCACCGGCTCTCAGAGGTAAACATTTCACCATCGTACTTCAGGAACATTAATTAATTTTCTATATTTGCCAGTAAAACTTTCCAGGGCAGAAACTGCAAAGAAGCAAGCCCTGCCCGAGGTCTGTCCCCGCTGCCCATCACGGTGACAGTTTCCCTTCCTCTGTGGAGCTGAATCGACAGTAGCGGTCACATCCTAACCCCGCGCCAGCAGTGGCAATCGCACCGCTGAGAATTGTTTTGTTTAAATACGAAACTTACAGCTCTGCTTATTAAGGCACTTTGTCTCAGGTATATGAATTAATTTCTATAGAGAAAAAAAATAAAGAGAGAAAATTAATTTCCTTTGCACTGCTCGAGTTTCAGAGGAAATTCCATGTTATCACTCTAGAGAGCACCCGCAAAGGAAAACAGGGAGAAAGAAATCTTTTTTTTTTTTTTTTTTTTTTCTTTTTTTTTTTTTTTTTTTTTTCCCAATCATTAAAAATAACATGACCGCGGCGCTGGTTCCTCTCGGCTGAGCAGGATGGACTGCACACGCCGTCTTTGGGATTCCTAGAAAATCGCATTTGCCAGAAGACAGTAAACCAGAGGATTTTATATTTGCACCCGCCGCACTGCCTCAAGCCCCTGCCCGAGTGCCTGCGCCGGGAGCGCTCGTGTTGAACATCGCCAGCAACGAGCGTCACAAGAAGATAAGGTCACAGGTCAAGTTCCCGATCCAGCAGAAGGTGTGTGATGCTGCAGGGAAATTGTCTTCTGGCGGGATTTGGAGGGTGGAGAAAAGCCCGGTCTTGCCTCAAGATGGCAGACAGGAGACTTGGATCTCGGCCGCAATATTTTACCAAGTGTGTGATAAAACCTCGTCTGCCCCGACATGTGTGTGGTGCTGGCACCACCCCACAGCCTGGTGTCACACTGGTTTCCCCCCAGCCCGGAGCTGGTGTCGGTGGTCCCTGGCAGCACTAATGAACGTGGGGACGAGGGGTGAGCTCACAGCAAAGCCCCTCTGGAAGCGGGAATATCCAGTGGGGGGATCTGCGGCATATCCCACACCCTGACCCGTGCCTTTACGGACACGCAGAGCAGCTTCCACCTCTGCTTCTCGTTAGAGATGAAAGAAGTAATTACTGCAATTACTGGGGGGTTAATTCAGCCCCACAGCACAACCGGAGCATCAACCGCGGTGCAATAATAAACATGACACGCAAGGACCCGGTGTGGGTGGAACAGCCTCTGATGCCGCGGTGGCTCCGTGGCCGTGGGGGAGAGTCCGGATCCACCCCGCACCCACCCTGGGCACAGGGGGGTGGCACCAGCATCGCCGTGTCCCCTCTCGCCGACGGGCGTGCAGAGCCCTGAGACCGGCCGGCCACGCGCTTCACAGCAAAGATAAATATTACCTCAACGAAGCAACGAGTTTATTTAGTGGAGTAGTATACAGGACTGAATTCCTGGTTCAGAAGATGACCAAAATACACTGATTTCAGCCCAAATGAGAGCAAACCTCTTCTTTTCCTGCTTACCTGCTTGCCACCCACCGTCCCCTCCCCAAAATGGTATTTGTGCAGGAAAACACTTGACCAAGAAGAATGACGTTGAGTGACTCAAAACCGTTTAGTTTTGACCACGCACGAATTGCCTGCTTTGCTTTCGGTTTAACCACGTGTGTTTTCTATTTTTATTATCAAAACACAACTTTCCAGCCCAGCCTGCCTGGCCAAGCGCCACCAGCTCGTGGGGGGACCCTTGGCACATCACACGGCTCCAGCACAGCTTCCTCCTGAGTTTCTGCCCCTGCAACGCTGCCAGCGGAAGGGTGATGGCATGAGGACCTGTGCGTGGCTCTTTACATCAGCATTTTAGCATTTTTCTCTGTTTCCATTGTTTTGTTCATTGTTGCCAGCTCAGTATAGATATTTACAGCATTGTAAGGTGTGTTCAGAAGTGGGCCAAACACTAAAGCTGCAGGGTGAGCGTGCTGGAGAGGTGAGCTAGATTTAACCTCTAAACACAAGTTAAAAGAGAGGAAAGATGTTTGCTGAATGGATGCAGCTTTATCCCCTGGCACGAACGGCACTGATGCGGTGCACGTCTCAACCCTTCCCTACCTGCAAGTTACAAAGAGGCGACACTGTGAGATGCAACAGAAAACTCACGGCTGTATTGGTTACAGCTTGCAACTCAAGGTCTCTTTTACGGTTTAAAACACTGAAGTGCAGCTTCAGTTTTGCCTGCCCACGAGCATTTTCTGCCCTCTGCCAGGAAACTGGGACCTGGGCGCTGACGTTCAACATCAAGCCATGACAGAAAGAGGTCTTTGGAAGTGAACAAATTAATATGAGATATGGGGCACCCCATTATTAGCCCTTAAAAACATCTTTCACCCAGGCTTTGGTGTCAAACGAAGGAGGCAGAGCAGCTTTTTGCAGGGGGGGACGGTGTCTTGGAGATGCCACCGCTGGGAGCGGAGTCTGGTGTCCAGGCAAAACTTGGTCACCCGAGGAAGCAAACTGCACATGGCAAGTATTCAGTTACAGTTTATAGCTAAGACAAAAACGACAAAATAAACATCTACTCTGCATGAAGGGCTCTCTTGGAGTCTTGGAAACTGTGAATCGAGTAGGATGACGAGCGCTGGCTTCCTGGTGTCCAAAATCCTAACGCTGAGCTCTTCGGGAGTTGATTCCCTTATGGAGGCTGGAGGAATCGTTAATCCGCGCTCATCCCACGTCTCCTTGCATTTGAAGATACAGCCTCAGAGTGTTATATCATTTGTTATTAATAACATCCATCGTACGCACCCAAACCGCGTCTCATTTCATGCGTCCGACTGTTTGGGCATCGTGTGCCACGGACCATATGGGCCTCGTTTGAACCCCCTCCGAATCGCAGGGGTCCATGTGCAACTGATAAAGGCCAATTTGGGGTGGATGGGAGGGGGGGGGCGGCACTGCTCTCCAGGCAAATCCAAGAAGGACGCCCTATATGTTTTCTAAGTGCTAAACCCGAGGGAAATTACTTCATCAAAACCCGATCCAGACCACAGTAATGAAGACTGTGATGTAGCCAGTGTTCAACCATGTTGACTTTACAGTACTGGAATTAATCCATCTGCATTGCAGCTCAGTGAAATCATTTCCAGCCCGTAGCAGCTCTGGGGCTGACTTCATCCTTGCAGCCCCAGATGCAGAGCCCTCGGAGTCGGGGGAATTACGGAGAGGACCGAAAGGCTGCTCTCTGCGCGGTGACGGCTGTCTGTCTTCGTGGGGATGTCAAATTTGTCTTAGGGACGATCCGGACCCCACAGCTCCGCCGGGCTTTTCGGTGGCCGCGCACAGCGTTACGCTCATCGGCTCCCATCGCTGTGCTTCCCGCAGGGCTGGAGACAGGGGGATTTGCTGCTTCGCTCTCCCTCGATGAGATTATTCAATTTTAACCCCTATAAAAATCCCCGGTAATCTTACCGTGACCGCCGGTTATTCAGGGTGCAAATTCAGCCCGATGCTATCGGCCATATCTCGTGTCTCCTTGGAAAGATGCTATGCAAGCACAGGGGCTTTCCCCGCTGCAATAAGTCCCAGCTGCTGTCATCACAGCAATCTTTTTATCTTTTCTAAATAGAAACTGGATATTTTTGTGCTATTTGCACCAGAAAAACACACACGATGGGATGCTCTGGATGCGAGTGCCCTCCTGGGAGCTCGTCCCAGCTCACGGAGCATCACTCCGGGGCGTGTGGTCGGAGAAGCTGAGGGAAGCAGAAATCCCTCCAGGTCTGCACATGCAATCCGCTGCCCACCCCCATTTCACTTCCTTTTCCTTTGTCCTGTACTTTTTAATCAACATTTTCTCAGTAAAAATTAAGTCCTTTTTTTTCTTGGTAGTTGCTACAGAGCACAAGCGCCTTTTGCTTTCTGTGAAAATAAGGGGTTTTTGCAAAGTTGTAAAACACCACAAAACCCCCAAATTTTGGTGGCGTTTCTTCAATCCCATAAAACCGAAACCCTGCGGGGATGGATTTGGGCTCTCAGGGAAGCCAAGGGTTTGAAATCCCCAAGCTCACCCTTGCGTTGTGGCAGGGGGGTGATGCCCCAGGGGTCCCCCAGGAGCTCCCACGGTGGGTGTTTGTCTGGCAAGGGGGTCCCCAGTTCAGGCAGGTCTCCACCTAAGCCTGACGCCCTGCTCGTGCCTCCACAACACAGGGAAATTAATGGAAATTCATTGATGTTCAGCTTTCTGAGGAGCTTCCTGAGCTGCCTAAACTCTCTGCGAAGGCAGGATTTTAAAACATATATAAGGGTAAATGCCTTAAATAAGCGGGAGGGCTCTGGACACCACTGCGGGCGGACGGCAGTGCGGGGGCACGGGCAGGCGATGCCCCCTTCGTCAGGCTAGAGGGTCGCAGGGTTTAGGAAAAGTGCAAAATGTGAGTATATCCAAAAGGATTTATCAATCCTGGTATTTTTGCTGGGCATTTTGCTGTTTTACTTAACCCCTGTCGTGTAATTTAATTAAGTTTGTTTAATATTTTTTTTTTTTTAAAAAAAAAGGCATGTGGGACTAGTAAACTTAATTAAAAAGAAACATTGTTAAGCAGCCTGATACAGCTATAATTTGATTTAAAGTACTGGATGATACCAACATTATAAATGTAAACTGATACGCCTTTTTATTTTTTTTTAAAAAAAAAAACCAAAACACACATCTAAATGGAATTTAAAATACTTCTTCATTTGCAGAGGGCTTTTTGAGCTGAGGTTAATTGCAAAGGCTTTCTTCCTCCTGTTCTGCTGCTGTAGGGCTTTTTTTTTTTTTCAAGTGGGGTAAGAAGTATTTCGTCCTCAGACAAATTACTGCTGGATCCTTTGTGCTGCGTGTTCTGCCTCCGAGCCAGGTTTCGATACCTTTGTTCACACAGTGCAAAATCCTGACTGCCCAGAAATCTGTGCCAGAGCTCCCGTGGGTTTCAAAGGTAGCGGGACATTAGGGGTAATTTTAGATTTATTTCTGGAGTGATCTCCTGGATTTCAGAGGAGAAGCTTCCACCTGTCACTAGTCAAAGAGGTAGAGGTTGGCATCGGAACCTGTTTATAACGCTGTTACAAACGTGTTGTGCGTGATGCGATGTAACACAGAGAATTGCACGACGAGCCTCGGATTCACATTTTTTTTTCCCGATGCTTTTTTGCTATTTAAATCTAAGCAAGTCCATCTCCTCGTGCTCAGCACCCCCCAGAAACAGCCGCCGCGGTGCAAGCTTCAATCCATCTGTGCATCCCCCACCGCAAAGCCTGGATATCCTCTACTGCCCCCACCAAATCCTTCCGAAATCTCCCTGCTGGGGTCGGGCTGTGCAGCGGCCAGGGATTCACTCTCTAAGAGAGAGAAAATACTTAGGAAGTCTGAAAACTCTCCCCAGCGTCGTGGCCGGCAGCGCCGGGGTCGGGTACCGCTTTCCTTCGCTGCCTCTAAACCGGGGGATGGAGCTGGGTGTAAGGGCTGATGCTGAGCGGCGTCGGCTTCCCTCCCCACCCCTCAGCCCTTTGCAAAACTATTTGTTAATTTGATATGAAGAACGAAAAGGTTTGTGGGGTTGTTTTGTTTTTTGTTTTTTTCTTTCCCAGCACCAAAATTATTTTGAACGAGTTGCTGGGTTTAACCTTTTCTCTGAATTATTTGCAGAAATATTCGAGAGAGGACAGGAGGTGGCTGGATGATGGGAACCAAGACTTTAGCTGCTCTTTCCAGAGCTGGACTAGTCTACAGGTGCAAGGCTTGCACTAGTGCAAGGTTTGCACCAGCTGTAACCAGAACTGAACCAACCGAAGGCAAATGATTGAATAAATGGTAAATAGTGGGACCATCACTAAGTTTATTTTGCTGTTTGTTTTCGTGAGCTGTGGGTGTAACTGTTTTGATGACATGAGGCAGATTTAATTCATTTCCACTTATTTTAATTTAAAAAAATACATATGTAAAAATATTTATTGAAAAGATAGCAGTTATTATACATTTAGGGTTTTTTGTTGTTTGGTTGGGGGTTTTTTTTGCCAGTTTCTTTGCCTTTAATAATAAATAGCAATAGTATCATCCCCTCCTTTCTTTTAAACCTCCAGAAGGAGGGGAGAAGGACCTGGCCGACAGATGCAGAGGAAAAGCCGAGATGCAAGAGAAGAGAAACAAACTACTGAAAGGAAAAAAATACCATTTTCCTTCAGCCACACTTGATTGCAGTGATCTGAGATGCAATTGCAGGCGCAGAGGCCAAGCCAGAAAGCATTACGGGTTTTTAATTTAACTTTCTTCCTTCAGATCGAAAACCTTACATGATTTTATGACCGAGAAACTGTCCGAGAGCTCCCTGCAGCAGCGCCGGCTCCACCACGTGTAAAATCCCAGCGTGGGGTTTGCAGGTTTCTCGGTAGTAGAAAGTGTTTAATATTATTTGTTGAATGGAGTCCTTGATAAATGAAGGCTTTTCTTTTTGTCTTGCAAATTATTCCCAATGTGGTCCTGATTTTTGTGAAAGTAAACAAACAGGGATAGTTTTCAAACTGGGGTTTGTTCGCACGTACAGCAACCACCAGAAACCTGCAGGCTGGCTGGTGAGAGCAGCTGCCGTCCCCAGAACAGACCCCAAACCCCACGGCCCCGCAGCCCAGCCCAGTGACCCGAGTCACAGATCTGATGCCCCTTTTTCTATCATTCAGTCGTATTTGCCAGTCACGGAGAGAAGATTTCTTTTGTATTTATTTTTTACTAATCCTCCTACTTGCATTTTACTGTCGATATAAATGACACGGGGGAAAAAAAAAAAAATCCCAGTGCTGTATTTTGGAATATTTATCCCCTATGATTTGGTGGAGTGCAGATACACTCCTTATTTCATGGCTATAACCTGCATTATAACAATCAGAAGATAACACATTTTTCAGCCCTCTTACCTCCAGACTCCAGCTGCCTGGACAGAGTGATACAAACCACCTCGAGCTGGGCCAGGCAATGCCACGGAAGGGATGGCCGCGTGTCTGCAAGTGGCCTCACAGCCGTGGCTGGTCTTTTCAGGCCGGGAAACGATCTGAGACAACTGGGATTCATCCTCCACAGCTAACTGAGCCCGGGTGGGAGCCACGCGGTGAGCAGGAGGGTTCCCATCTGCCGGCTTTCTCTGCTGGTCAGAGAGCACTGGCGGCATCCCCCAGTCCCAGCTCCAGATGGGATGCTCCTGCTCGGAGCATCGCTCGCCCCGAGATGCTCGGAGGGCAGTGGTGGCTCCCCACAGCTCCCCACTGGTCCCCACCCCGTGGCTCTGCTCTGCCCCGCCGAGCAATGCCAGCAAAACCCGTCGTGAAAGCACGTTAAATAAAAGACTGGAGTGGTCCCCTGCCCTCCAACGGCAGAGCGGTGCTGCAGCCGGAGCTTTCACCACTTCTCAGTGGTTCACTGAATCTGTTATTTCAGGGGTAGCTCAGGGTTGGGAATTGGAGGATGTGCAGAGCAGAAGCGTTTGGAGTCATCGGTGCTGAGCTCCATCATGTTTTTCAGTGAACTGGATTAATTCTGTTCAACACGGAAGTGCTTTAAGTTTGTGGAATGTGGGACAATAAAAGCGAGCAGATGCACGAACACAGGCAGAAATCCAGACAAAAAAAAAAAATAAATATATATATAGTCCATCTCCCTACAGCTTATAGAAACTCCCCTGCCCCTACACGTGCTATCTGCTACGGGGTCGGCGGGTCCCGGGAGGAAGGGAAAGAGGAGGGAAGAGTGAAATCCAAGTGCATGGGAGAGCCCTGAGGAGCTGCAGCTTTGGGCTGGGGTTGGTGCAGCTCTTGTCACACTGCCCCGGGCTCTGGAGCTTCTCCCGGGGAACCTCTGCAGAGCTTGGGTGCTCTGAAAAAACAGGAGGGGTTTCAAGGCTGCTCATCTTCCGTGGCACAGGGCATGCTTATGTTCTGGGGTAAGGTGTGTTTTTTAAAAGGATTTTTTTCAATCCAAATGACACCTCCTGGCAGCGTAGGAGCCGTCTGACCTTCTGCCTTTGGTGACGCTATCGTAGGAGAAGCAAAACCTGCCCTGTTGCTCAGTTTAATGCCATGTTCAGTCCTAGGCCTTCAGACGCGGGATTGCTAATGAATTACCAATGATATTTCGATGTAAAATGTCCTCCAGGTTCCATGTGGTGAACTTCTGCAGATGGACGGGCTATTTACTCCGGTAACTAATGGGCACAGACAGACTTGAGCAGCACTGAAAGGTAATATCACCCCCAAATACAACCAGATGTGCAAAAAATACACAACTTTTTGAGGGATAAAACTTGCTGCAGAGCCAAAAATCAGACTCAGCTGCTAGTTCCAGGTCTTGAGGGTTAGGAAGAGGCAAATTTTTTTTGTGTGAGCTATAATCATAACTCAGCCTTCTGGCCAAGACTGGCAGGGCAGCGTATTAATGAAGGCAGATGCTCCAGACCAAGGGCCTGATGCGGGTTCCCAGGGCTGTGGTGTCCAGGGGTACAGCAGTTACAAGGATTTCAGGGCTCCTACCGGTGTCTTTTCTGCCTCCTGACAAGGCTTCTCCGGAATATTGTGTCCATACTCCTAATTTTAAATTGCAGCTTATCTAAGAAATAATATGCAAGGCAAGGAGCTAAGATCAATGTCTTGCACACAACAAGGCAACCTATTTTGTCTACTCCAAACCTTCCCATTCTGCAGCATGGGCTCCCACCAAGGATGAAAAAGCTCTGCAGATCATGGCAGTCCCAGCTGGAGAGGAGGATTTTACATTTCATATGTGAAGGATCTTTGCTCTAGCACCCGCACGCATGGCTGGCTTTGATCCTGGTGACCCTGAGTAGAAAAAAATAGCTGGTAAGCTACCGTGGTCTGTGCCCATGACAGCTTTGGTGAACCCCAAGAGAGTGCACCGCGCCTGGGAGCTGGGGCAGAGCAGACTGATGGAGAAGTGCCATGGGAACGGTGCTGGGTGGGGGTGAGAGACCCTGGGGAAGGGCTCAGGGGAGATGAACCACGGGACGGGGCACTGAGAGTCGAGGAGGGGATGCTCAGCCGGAGCCAGCTCTGCCCCGAGTCACAGCTCTCCCACAGGCCTTCCCCATCTCACCTCGTTTTTACATTACTCAAGGACAGAGCTTGTTTTTCAGAGCAAATCCCCTGCTAACGTTGCCAGGATTTGAATTTATGGCCACGGGAGGTGTTGAGCCACCAAGCCAGATGGTTATTTGCTAATTTTGATGGTTTGGAGAGGTTTTTGGATCGCAACGGACCTGCCCACGTTTGCAAGCGAGAGAAAGCCATAGGCTGAGCTGCTTCATCTATTAAATGATTGCATGGTTTTCTTCTGCCCTTATTGAAAAAGATCATTTGGGTTTTGTCCGTATAATTTACAGCCCGCAGCCTGTGACCCAGTGCAGCCAGAAGGAAACTTTGGAAGGGGAGATAATACCGTGGAGACAGATTTTTCTCTTCTCCTGAGCTGAAATCTCTCATGAAGCTGAAGCCTGTTGACCAGTTAAAGCTGATTTTCTTCTGCCCCAGCAACACTAGCCATAGATAAAGACTTCTTTGACAGACTTTATATAGCAACTAACCTGTACATTAACACGCGCGGATTGCATTGACTTGTTTTGCACAACTGGGTGCTATTGGGTGGCAAGTCAATCACATTTATTTATTACTTTAAAATTAAAACCAGAAAATAATATCCGTCATCCCTTAGGGGATACTTGAAAAAGCCGAGTTTCACCCAGCTTCGCATGGAGAGTTCATGCGGTTTTAATTTCAAATACAAAGAATATATAGCTTGGTTGGGGGGTGACATCACCTTCCTTAGAAAATTTCACGTGATTCTTTTTCTTGTTTTTAAAGCTATTATTTTACATATCTGCTGACAGATATTTGTATTGGCAGATCTTACAGAATATTAAGATTGTATCTTTTCTGTTTAATTTCAAAAGTCGCTTCCTCACCAAAGTGCACGCTAACGACTCAAAAAAAAAAAAAAAAAAAAAAAAAGTACTTCGGAGGTGAGTGAAAGTTTCCTTGTGAACCTTTTCGTTTATTGCCCATCTCCTCAATGCCTCACCCCTTCCAAGCTTTTATTCTCGTCTCTCTATATCTGCATTTACAGCAATAATTAGCCGCAGTAAATTAGGATAGAATAGCAAAACAAAGCTGAGTTTCTCCGCAGCCGGCCGAGCTCTCCCAGGTGTGGGCTTGGTTTAAGGCCAGAGTTTGCATTTATCTTTCCAGACGAGGAGGGATGGAAAAGTCTCAAACCTGTCCTGGGGCTGACTCCTCCAGCAAAGTGCTGGTGGTGCAGGGACGGCGGTGGTGGAAAGAAATCAGCCAAAACCCGAGTGGTTGGAAAAGCACTCTGCACTAGAACTGGTGGGACCAGGGATAAATCATCACGTCTTGTTTGGACCCACCTTCTCTAAGCCCCTTGAAGGTGGGAGCAAAGCTTATTGCAGACATCAGGGTTTGGTGAGGTAGAAGAGTGAGCCCCAGAAACCTGCAATTTCTGTTAAAATATTTTGTAAAAATAACATCACATTCTTCTTTGAAAAGGCTTTTCCCCTCACTTTGCTGCCTACCTCTCTGCTGGTAAGGCCCCGAGTGGGATTCCCCAAGACCCTGGGATGCTCCATGGCCGGATCGTGCCTGGCCCCAGCGCCGAGAAGGGAGCGCAGGAAGCACGCCCCGGATCTGCCCGGATTCACTCCTGCCCGGGAATATAGAATAACTCAATATCAGCTTCCCCATGACTGTTTTAATTTCATTTCTCCTGTGTGGTTTCCCTGGCAGCTAAACTGAGATCTCTGGCTTTTCCCTCCCTATACTCCACCGGTGAGAAGAGCAGGGGTGACCCTGGGGACAAGGGGTCCCGCCGCTCGTGGGGCACACGTGGGGTCACCCTCTCTTCCCCTGGAGCTCCTCCCTGCAGTAAAGCCAACCAGGATACATTTTAGTGCCATTCTAGAGGTTTTCTGCTTCATCCATGTGGTTAATTTTGCTTTCTCTAAATCCCCTATTATTACACATTCTTCAAGTATTTTCTTTAAGTATTATGAGAAAAGTTCAACATGGCAGGAATTTTTCCCTTTACTTAGCAGAGGGAAGGGGCCATGTCTTGGTCTTATTTCTCAGCTCTGGAGAAGTGGTGATGAAGGAAAGGTGGTGGGAAAGCTGCTCGGCGGGCTGGCCGGGGCTTGTCGGGTGGATGTGGTTGGAGAAGGGATGGAGCAGCTTCTCCTCGCTCTCCCTCTTCCCACACAACCACCAGCCAAAAACCAGCAGCTGGGCTAGGAAAGGCGACCCGAAAAATGTTCCTCACAGCACAGAGCCAAGAAACCTTGCTTTTCCAGGAAATATATTGAGGGTGCAGTGAGATACCTGACAGAAACCCCTCTTGTGATGCTCCGGCCATGTTGGTGGTGCCAGGAAAGCTCTCAGCGGGGCCCGCAATGACAACCAAGGGCTTCTGGATGAAAGTCCTGGAGGTGGCACGTCACATCTCGGTCCTAGAGATGCTCACGGTGGCGTCACCCTTACCCCACCTGCAAGTGAACGTTACTGTCCGCTCCTCATCTTCCTGGCTGCGGCAGGGAACACCACCAACCCTTCTCTCATCATGAAGTGATCCCAGTCCCCTGGTTCGATTTAACTCTCCCCAAATGCTGTATATATTGTTTTTACTTCACTGAATCATTTCCTTAAAGTTCAGTCCTATTCCCTCTTCAGCCTTTTTCTGGGCTCACGTGTAAAATAACACAAAGGAGATTTATTTTAATATATGTTTAATTAACGCAATGCACGTGGTGGTGGAGAACCTCCTTAGGAGGTCAACCAACCAAGAAACTTCAGCGCTGGCTCTCCACAGCCATAAACTGGCCATTTCTTCCCCAGACCTGTCTTTTTTTTTTTTTTTTTTTTTTTTTTTTTTTTTTTTTTTTTTTTTTTTCCATGAAATTAATTCAGGATATTCCTGAGAGCGAGGACAGGCTGAACCGTGCCATCACCTCCTGCTTGGGGTGGCGGGGATGGAGGGCACATGCTACCACACTGCACTTGGGCGTAAGAGCAGAGGTTTTTCCAAGTTCGTTATGGGCAAAATAAGGTGGAGAATGAAATGAAATCTTTGCTGTGGGACTGGACATTTGAGAACGTAAGGGAAAACAATCTCCGAAGCGCTGTCATAAGCTACTACGGGTGTTTTCTGCCAAGATTTACTTAGCCTTCAGCGGTTTCCGTTTAAAAGATTGTTTTTTAGGAAAAGGAAATATTTGTTAATCTGTTCATAAGTAATTAGTTAATCACTCCTATGAAGTGGTGCTTACATTTACAAAAAATTATAGTTGAATATTGTAAATTCCCGCAGAACCCAAACTGGTGTTATTTCAGTCCACGGAAGAATTATTCAGCTGACAGTCACATCCCCTCCAGTTGCAGCCTGTGTATTAGCCAGAGCATTTAGAAACTGTTTTATTATAGCTTTAACACACTCCTGTAACAAACCTTCCACCCCTTTCCTGTGTTGACAGCGTTTGTGGAGCACCGTATCGCCATAAATTCATATTTTATTTTTTTTTCCTTGCACGAAGACGGTGTAATTTGCACATTGGAATATTAGATATTAGCTTGCGTTTTTTTCAGTGTCAGGTTTAACCCCGTTAGATTTGTGGCAGCACGTACATTTGTATTTACAGCATGACAAGCAAATGGGCTGGGATTCTGAAAAAAAAAAGGTTGTTTATTTACTAGTAGTAGTAAGGTTGGGAAACTGAAAAAAAAAATGCAAACTGGACTGTGAGTCCTGGAATAAACAATTAGTAGCATGTAAAATAGGGTTAAACCTGTCCTCATGTACATTTTGACAGGAGAGGCAAGATTCTGAAAGGGAAGACGTGGTTGGTGATGCCAAGGCCGGGGAGGGGACAGCACCCGGGGGCAAGGGACCAGCCTGGGGCTCGCTGCTTTGCTGGCTCCGGCTCTGCAAGAGGAGAGGAGTTGCACCACCCAAAAATGTTGCTCAGAGCAATCGCAGGCTGCGTACACCCAGCGGGGCAAAGAGAGGCACCCACACCCATTTGCAGCCTTGGTTACGCGTTGCCTGATTAAACGGTGGCGGAGCAATCGCTGAGGGTCTGTTACGGGGGGTCAGGGCTCGTTTAATGGTACACAACTGCATCCTTCTGCATCCTTCTGATTAGAAACTGCAGGTTTGGAAACTTTTTTTTTTTTTCCCCCAAATGCTAAAAATAAAAATTCTCGCTAACAATTTGTGAAGCAGAGAGCAAACAATCCTCGAGTTTATCCGTCAGAACCGAAAATGTCCTAGCACCAAATTTAGAATTGCAGCTTTATATAAATCTATGACATATCAGGTGGAGATATAGAAGGGAAAAATATTCGATGCATAACTGAGTGCAAGTGATATTAAAATGTTACCCCTACGCCACAAGACAGGTTTGGTTTGCTTTGGTTTGGTTGTTTGTTGTTGTTGTTTTTTTAAATATTTTTTTTTTCAGCTTTATTTTAGTAAATGCAAAGTAAATCTTGGCAGAATCGAACGCAGCTTGAACACAATTAAATCTCCTAAAGTCTGCCCCTAAACTGCTCAGGAAAGTCTGTGTTTGGAATTTACCTGCGTGCTTTAGCAGATTAATGGACGGCATTAAAATATCATTTTCAAGTTAAGCAAACATTTCTGGCATATTGTATAACACTTGCTTTAAAATTAAATTAGTTATTCTGAACTTTATGCCAAATGATTATTTGCTCAATTTTCTGATGACGGTAATACGTGACATACCATCACATAATTTGGTAAAGACAATAAGATTACAAAGCCCAAGAAGGGTCTGAGTCAGTCTTTGACAGATTAAAGCTCTCCAAGTCCCCTGAAAACCCTTCTCTGACATATTAATTTGACCTAAACCCTCAAAATGTTCCTGATTATATCATCTCAATTCGGCTTTATTTTTGTTTTATTTTTCATTGTAGGAAATTAAAAAGGGTTGGTTGATCCCCGGCCAAGTTCTTGAAATGTGTTGCAATGCTAAGGAAATAAAAGATTACTCGGAATACTTTTTAATAATATGTCATGTCAGCAGAGATAAAGGTTCACACTTCATGCCCTCAGCTGGCTTCCATCAGCGCTGGGGAGCGCAGCATCGCTCCGACCGGGCTGCGGGAAGGACCCGCCGTTCACCTTGCTTTGAAATCATGAGCTTATGCTCTCGTAATTATGAACATGTTTATGAAATTTGTTTTGTTTCTTTTTGGAAGGAGAAATAAAGGTCTGCCTGGTGGAGCTGATCCTGCCTGGGGTGCGGGCAGAGCCAGATAACCTCCCAGAGCCTCTTCCGCCGCCCCGGTCTCCATCCATCTCTCACGGCTGGGGGGTGACGCCCCAGAAGAGCCCCCCGAGGTGGGTCAGGCACCCGTCCCGCAGAGACATCGGGCAGGAGCACCTGAAAACGCCGTGTACAAAGGAAAATCACGTCAGCAGAGTCTGGGGCTTTGCCGGGCCACTGCTGATGGACACTGGGGGACAAAGCCGCCGCGCAGTTCAGGTTACGACACGACACAGATGGCCAGCGGGTCCTGAGGGACTTCGTGAAGGCAGAGAAGCACCATTACCCCGATAAAAGTTAAATTTTATCAGCACCAGCCTCTCTGGAGGCCGCTCTAGGAAATGCTCATGCTCCTGCCAGCTTGGGGTGGGCTCCTCTCCTGCGTAACCCCGAGTCCACACAACTCTACAAACCCCAGGGAAGCAAACGCAAGGAACTCCCTTCCTTATACTTATTTTACAGCCGATGGACGTCTGTCCCAGCTGCCACTGTGAACAACACCATTAGTTTTTCACCGTGAGTTCAACAGGAGCTCAGATGGATCTTCCAGAGCCGCATTTACAGACCGGGACGCTGCTATTCCACTCCCAAACTGGGCCACAGGCACGGTCCGAACCGGAGCTGGCGCCGGGATCACGCGCACGGAGAAAATTCAGCGGCTGGAAAAATGGGCAGTTTTCAACCAGGTGCCCCTGGTCGAGCTCCAGCCCTCAGCACCTGTATCTGCACCCCTCCAGCCTTCTCCAAGGCCTTTTCCTTAGACAAATTCCTGTCCCAGTGAGATATGCCAGGAGTTTGGTGTATAACAGTGTGTAAAAATAATATAAATGTGTATAAATAAATGAGCATCAACGTGCGAACCCCGCCATAAGCTGAGCAACAAGGATCCTTGGAATGGGGGTCTGAGGACAACGGTGTGAGTCTGGGGCATTTAAAATACACGTTTGTCAAGCGTTGTGCCAGGCAGCGGCTGTCTGACGGTTGGTTTTAGTCGTCCCCATGAAGACGAGGCACTTTTCACGCTGCTGCCAGCCCAAGGTTTGGAAGAAATGAGTGCCCCAGGATGCAGACCCTAAGAAATGCAGCAAGAAATCCTGAAAAATGAAAAATGTGAATAAACCAGTGCTCCCCTGAGACTCTGGGAGTGCCTGGAAGTGGGTCAGGGAGCTCTGCACCCCGTCCCCTGCCCGCCCCGAAGCCGCAGCGCCCTGCTTTCTCAGCTGGCCTGGGAATTTTATCCCTTTCCATATTTTTTTTTTTTCTGTTAAGGCTCATCTGTCCCGGCTGACCTCCCCGGAGCAGGGAGAGGCAGCGGGGCAAGGGGTGTGCTGGGGATGAGTGGGGGAGGCAGACACCCACCCTGCTCAGCGTGAATACCACCAATTTCACCTCCCCCCAGAAAAAAAAAAAAAAAAAAAAAAAAAAAAAAAAAAAA